TCTGCTTATATTTTCCCCTCTCTTTGTCTGAGAAGATAAGCAAACACTAATTTGTAAAGGTCATGGGGAGTGATAAAGAAAAGGTGACTCCTTAAGGTCTTGCCCAATTCAACATTCTTTTGGCAAGTCTTAAAATCTCATTAGTATCATACTGTTACGCTTTATGCTTTTACAGTTTTCTTTCTTTTTTCCATGAGAGACACAAAAAGAGAGAAGTATCCCAACACAGAATCTTTGTACCATAATTACCCCTCCATCCACCTGCTCCACCATCATCTTAGCCATCTAAGATCATGGTCACATCCACCCGGTATGTATAGGGAGGTCCTGGATATGAACCCAGGATCTTTTCTATGTGAGTCCAGTTGCATTATCACTATGCTAACCCTTGGTCCTTAGGTGTCTCATTAAAAATTAAAATGTTTAATCTAGTTGAAATAACAAATACAATTTTTTTCTGAATATAATGCAAGTGACACTAATTATAAAGAATAATAATACCTCTTGAGTTAGTTGCTACAACTCTGACTAAAAGTTGAAACTGTTGGGGCAGAGGGGGGTTAAATTTATTAATGCCCAGATCCATCACCCACAAATTCTGATATAATTGGTTTTAAGTGTGCTCTGAACATAAAAAATAAAATAAAATAAAACCTCTCCAGATGCTTTTTTGTTTTGTTTTGTTTTGATGTTTTTGCTATAGGGCACTTGCGCTCACCAGAAAGACAGAGAGAGACAGAAAGCAATCCCTTCCCCTCCATTCTCCTCTCAGGATCCTGGGCACACACACACGCACACATGCCCAGCGTGAGTTTAAGCCACCAGGTCTGGGACTTGAACCACAGTCGACTACATGGAAGTCCAGCGACATAGCCATTACACTAACTGCTGGTCCCCAGATGCTTCTTTTTTAAAATTAATTAATTTACATTAATTCCCTGAGCATCATCATAGCATATAAAATGTGATTTCCCATCCAGAATATACTGGATATGGCTTAATCAAACATGCTATCATCAATAATCTGTGTGGTGTGTTTGTGTGTGTGTATTTATAAGTATGTGTGTGTGTGTGTGTATGTATATATATATATATTTCCCCCTATTTCTCACCCTCTGCCAACCATCCTTCTCCTACACTACCTCAGGTGTCTGTAGTTGTTTTCCATTCCTCCTTCCCCCCCCCCATTTTATTGATTCAAAAAATTTCTTAAATAACCTAGTTACTTTCAATAGCAAGTTCTGCTGGTATATACATATCTGTGAATACATGACTGACATTAGGCGTGAAACTCTGAGTAGAATGAATATACTATAAAGTAGCACCTAACTGATGTTATATAGCTTACTATGGTCATTAAATAGGTATTTTTAAATATATATTTTTTTAATTTCAAGAAAAGCAGTTTTGGCTTTAATAAAACAAAGAAATGCTAAGGAACTTTGCTTAATTAAATCTTTAAGTCAGGAAACAGGTTAGGATTCTGTTGAAATACTAGGTACATGAACCTATAGGCAGCTTAAGACAGGACAAAAATCCTTAAAACTGGAAAACAAAGCCAAGAAAATTTGCAATGATTTAGTCAAAAGTAATAAAATTCTATTTCACCAGTTCAGTCTCATGTACTTAATCCAGATAATTCTAAAGCACAACCAGTGTTGAGAACCACTGGCCCATCTCTGCTCCTAACTCTTATTTAGCCAGATCATCTGTGTTTAACCTCATAAAAGAAAAATCTGGAACACAACAAAATTTTAAAAGAGTTTGATTAAGGAATAGTCCCTGAATTGGGAGCAACAGACCAAAAGAGGTTTAGTTTTCCAGTGGCGAAATGTCAGAAATGAATATTTATTGGGAAAATGCAGAAGCAAAATTTAAAAAATTATTGGATTGGTCTGTAATTACAAAATTGACGTGTTTTGGGTACATTGTTGTAAAGACCCTGGTCATGTAATCATGTCATCTGCTTATGACTGACTGGGGTTGAATTTATTTCTGTTTAACAGAAGCATTTATCAGAAATGACCCAAGTTAAGTCTTGCTGTGATTGTGTAAGTCAAGCCAAGCTGAGGTCACTGATGAGCCCTAAATGCTTCTGTCTACTCAGGGAGTCTCCAGGCCTGGTCTCCATTATAATTTACTATAACCACCTTAACCTTGACTAAAATTAATAAATATGTTTAAGAAGTACAGTTTCCCAGACTCCAGTTCCAGAAAGTCCAATTCATTATGTCTGGGGTAGGACTCAGGCATTGTTTTCGCTTTGTGGGTTTTTTTGCTGTTGTTGTTTTTTGGTTTTCTGTGTGTAAGTTTATTTCTTCTTCTTTTAAGGGAGATTCTTGCTATAGGGCATATGTGCTCTCTGGAGAGAGAGAGGGAGAGAGAGAGAGAGACAGAAAGTGAGAAATCACCTCCAGGGGAAATGGCCATACCACAATCCCCTCGCCTCCATTCTTCTTGGGATTTTAGGCACACACATACACATGCCTGACATGAGTTTTAAGCCTCTTGAGTCTGGGACTCAAAGCACGGTCGACTATGTGGGAGTCCAGCAACATAACTATTATGCCATCTGCTGATCCCTTTTTGTTTATTTCTTCTATGAGGAAGATAAAGACAAGCACCCCCATCCAGGTCCCATGAATGCCCTTATCCCCTTCCCTGTAGCCTTGCCCAGCCAGCTAGGATCTTGGGCACATGTGTGTGTACTAACCACCATCCCCCATCTCCCCCTGGGTTCCCAGCATCCCAGAGATTGCACTGTACCATTGTGGCTGGGTCTATTATATTTTGTTTTCTTTTCTTTAAGTGTCATGGTTTTATGTAAAGTCAAGGTTAACCAAGATAGTTAACATCTCAGTGTGGGAGAATAGGATACACCATCACTGCATTTCCTTTTCTGTCTTTTTTTATGTCAAGCAATGAACTTTCCTCTACAGAAGAGTTCAATAGCACAAACTTAGTTTTATAACTAAAAGAAATAAATGAATTTTGTTTTAAAAATTATTTGTAGTAACAGTTGTTAAAAGATAAATCAAAGGACGGACTCAACTGAAGAGTCCCCAAGAAAAAGCCAGTGAATGAAAAACAAAAACAAAAACAAAAATTTATTCAAGTGGAGCAGTAGTTTATTTGGGTCATTCTTGTAGAAAACACCTAGTTAGAGATTTACTGGTGGTTTCTGATTGGCAGGCTTAAGTCTCGTGTTACTGTTTATACTGGGTTGGGTGTTTATTTGCTTAGGTAGGAACACAGGGAGTTTGAGGCTCCTTAGCCCACCCTTCCTAGTTAATTATTTCAATGTAGTAATGGTACTTTATATACACTGGACAAATTGTGGTTCCAGATATTCTGCCATTTAGTGCCTTTAGACCCATTTTTCTTTTAACTTTTGGTCAACTTAGCCACGGTATGTCTACATGTAAGTCTGATATTCAAAATGTTAGTTGTTCTTAGAAGGTCTCTGCTGAGATGGTGTTACTACCCTGGTTGAATTAAAAGGGACGTTGGGTAGGAAAAAGGGAAGACATTTCGGATATGGTGTTCATGTATAAAAAGGAACGTTACAGTTTCCAAAAATACCCAGATACAAGTCTGTCCCCTTTTGAATTTACGACTAAGGGAAAAGGTGGGAGTCCAGCAACATAACTATTATGCCATCTGCTGATCCCTTTTTGTTTATTTCTTCTATGAGGAAGATAAAGACAAGCACCCCCATCCAGGTCCCATGAATGCCCTTATCCCCTTCCCTGTAGCCTTGCCCAGCCAGCTAGGATCTTGGGCACATGTGTGTGTACTAACCACCATCCCCCATCTCCCCCTGGGTTCCCAGCATCCCAGAGATTGCACTGTACCATTGTGGCTGGGTCTATTATATTTTGTTTTCTTTTCTTTAAGTGTCATGGTTTTATGTAAAGTCAAGGTTAACCAAGATAGTTAACATCTCAGTGTGGGAGAATAGGATACACCATCACTGCATTTCCTTTTCTGTCTTTTTTTATGTCAAGCAATGAACTTTCCTCTACAGAAGAGTTCAATAGCACAAACTTAGTTTTATAACTAAAAGAAATAAATGAATTTTGTTTTAAAAATTATTTGTAGTAACAGTTGTTAAAAGATAAATCAAAGGACGGACTCAACTGAAGAGTCCCCAAGAAAAAGCCAGTGAATGAAAAACAAAAACAAAAACAAAAATTTATTCAAGTGGAGCAGTAGTTTATTTGGGTCATTCTTGTAGAAAACACCTAGTTAGAGATTTACTGGTGGTTTCTGATTGGCAGGCTTAAGTCTCGTGTTACTGTTTATACTGGGTTGGGTGTTTATTTGCTTAGGTAGGAACACAGGGAGTTTGAGGCTCCTTAGCCCACCCTTCCTAGTTAATTATTTCAATGTAGTAATGGTACTTTATATACACTGGACAAATTGTGGTTCCAGATATTCTGCCATTTAGTGCCTTTAGACCCATTTTTCTTTTAACTTTTGGTCAACTTAGCCACGGTATGTCTACATGTAAGTCTGATATTCAAAATGTTAGTTGTTCTTAGAAGGTCTCTGCTGAGATGGTGTTACTACCCTGGTTGAATTAAAAGGGACGTTGGGTAGGAAAAAGGGAAGACATTTCGGATATGGTGTTCATGTATAAAAAGGAACGTTACAGTTTCCAAAAATACCCAGATACAAGTCTGTCCCCTTTTGAATTTACGACTAAGGGAAAAGTATTCAGCAGTTTAAGTGTTTTTAATAATGCTGAGCATGCAAATGACAAAGGAAATATTTAAAAATACAACCTGCTGGGTGGAGAGAGACGGTAGGCTGAGAGACGAGATCAGCAACACCACAACGCTGAGCCTCGCAGCGGAAGCACACGGCACTTCCGGTTCTGGCTCCAGTCCTGTTCTGGTTCCGGTTCCGGGTTTCTGAGTCTCGCAGCCTATCACCGGGCGCTGGCTCGCCCCTCGTGGCAGGCTCGGCCTCACGTGACGGAACCGTCCGGGCGGCTGCGCAGCGTCTCCCCGGGCACCGAGGGCTGCGCGGCATGGCGGCCTACCCCAAGCCCGACGCGGGGACCCTGC